CTTGTTCGAAAGACATTTGTTCGAAGACACTTGTTCGAAAGACACTTGTTCGAAAAAATAAAATTATATTAAATAATTATTAATTAAACCTAACCTAACCTAACCTAACCCAAACTTACCTAAACTAACTTATATTAACATAATAAGTAATATTTATATCAATTTGTACATGTATCAATGTGTTTAAATCAAATTAAAATTAAATTTTTCGAACAAATGTCTTTCGAACAAGTGTTTTTCGAACAAGTGTCTTTCGAACAAGTGTCCTTCGAACAAATGTCTTTCGAACAAATGTCCTTCGAACAAGTGTCTTTCGAACAAGTGTTTTTCGAACAAGTGTCTTTCGAACAAATGTCTTTCGAACAAGTGTCCGGATCCCGTTCAAACATACACAAATCAATCTGAACTGATCTTAAACTATCCTAGATTAATATTTAAAAAAATATGAGCACTATATTATTGATCAAGATATAAATAAAAATCATATAATGATATTACAAGTGGCATGATAAAACAAGCACGATCCTGGTGATAATATTTCAAAATCCGGATTAACATCAAGTCTTTGCCGCCGTATTTAACTAAAGCCAAGCCATCTTTGGGACAGATAGTGTTGAATGTCATCAAATGTTGTGCAAAACTGATTAAATCGGTCACAAATTTCTCATTTAAATGTGAATAATTCGCAATCATTTTCTCCAACCCTAATATTTCTTTAACTATTTTCTCACTATTTAACCGATAGTTGAATACATTGGAAGCGATCATCAATTCCCGCATCCGATTGCACTCTAATTGATTCAAACCCTTATAATCGATGAGTTCCCGGAATACGGGATTTACTGGCAATTCCGGTGACTCTTCATTACTTTCTGTGAATATATTGTTTGTCACATAGTTTTCAATATCTCTGATCTGTTCCCTAAGCTCTTCGGCACTCGTATTGATTGTGTTGTCTAACAATATATCAATTTCTTAACAAAATTTATTGTCATTTTGTTTTGAATCAGTCGAAGAGTGACTTGTATTCAACGAGGAGTTACAATCACCTAAATTAAAATTAATATACAATTAGATTAATTAAATGATTAACGCAGTTATCATTTTATTTTGAATTTAAGTTATCAACATATTTGTTAAAACATTACCCAAAGAAACCACGGATTTATTGCATTGGAATTGTTTTAGTCTATTGTTTATAACAACTTGTTTTAGTCTTTCATTTTCCTCTTTACTCCGAATTAACTCCTTTTTAATAGAAATTATATATATTTTAATTAATTAATTAATTATTTGTTTATTAAAATCACACACTTTTCGCATTCCTGCGGCCAAACACTTGTCGAGCCGACAC